GACACATCTGAATTATATTGATTATATGGACCCATTTTAATTAAGCTTTAGGATATAGTACTGAAATTGCTTTGGTCATCTTGGTGGATGAGCTATGCCAGAACCTGGATGGGGCAAGTGTGGCCCTGCAGGTTCTGGTAGACACTAACCCTACTGAACCCCTTGAAGAGATCAAAGGAACTGGGAATAATCAGCCTTGAGGAGGCTGAGGAGGTTAAACTCAAAAGCCCCTTCTTTGATTATAAGACGGTAGAAAAAATTAAGTTGGGTTCACATCATCTCTGTGCACAGCCTATTAAAGCATGTGTTTCATTTTGGCTTCCTGTTGGCTGCAACTTGCAGCCAGCCCCGGCATCATGCTAAGTGGGAAACAGCTTATAAATATTTTTAAAAAATAAATGAAGCCAAAGAAACCACGTTCAGGCCCAGCCTTTATTTTTCAAATTTATATAGCCGCCATCTCCCATATATCAGGGTTCCTCGACCTTGGCAACTTTAAGAAGGGTGGACTTCAACTCCCAGAATTCCCCAGCCAGCAAGGGAGTTTTGGGAGTTGAAGTCCACCCGTCTTAAAGGTGCCAAGGTTGAGGAACCCTGATATATATGACTCTTTTATGATCTATTATGGGCAGATCGTGATTTATTTAGCACGACGTGACTGTGGTTCGTTGCATTAACTCCCAAACAGCAGAGGGAAATACCTAAACCACGCCCATTCTCAATTATACGGGGAAATAAATCTGAAAGAGCCAAGACCCTCACAAAGAAGAGGAGCGAGTTTTGGAAAGAAAGCAGGATGTCCTATCGCCACCCTCCCCCTCGAGGACGGAGACGCACCGCTGCCAGAAGATTAATGGCGGGGCGCAACTAGAACTTCCGGCGGAAAAAGGGAACGCCGGAGTACTTGCTTTTCTACTGGCTCAAGGCCCTTCTACCCCATGGCATCTCTATGGCGAGCCGCCTTCCCAATGGGAAAATGCAATACCGGAAGCGCCTGTGAGTCACGTGACGATTTCGGTCGCGAGACCTCTTCCTGTGCTGGCGCTGCGTGCCGCGCTTTCGTGTCTGCTGGAAAGCGAGCGAGTGAGTAAAGTCTGAGTGAGGCAACCGGCGCCCGTTTCTGAGTGAGCGGCGGGAGGGAGGGAGGGAGGGAGGGAGCAACCAAGCAAATAAGCAAGCATGGCGACATCTTCGTAATATTGCTTACATTTTCCTAATCCAGCATCCCGGTGATGTTACGGAGCTTGCCTCCAGCGAGTCCCAACGAGCTTCCCGAATAGGTGTAAATATAATCCCTAAAACTGGGCGCCCTCGTGATATGTCGGACTACAAAACCTATCATGCCCAGCCAGCATGCTGGGTGGAACGCGTCCGGAGGGGACAAGGGCGCAGAGTAGACCACGTGGTCACGAGGGACAAGAATCCACCGCCGGGCGGCTTCGCTTTTCTTCTCCTCTCCCCCTAAAACACGTGGGCATTAATTCCACCGAGACTCAGCAGATACTTTGATTTCCTGAGTATTTATTGGGAAGCAAGTTTCCCTGCGCTCCAGAGGCTTGCTTTCGCAGGTCCCCTGGCTGGGCGAAATCTGGCGTGCTCTTCTGGGCAGAGCTTCTGATATGTGGATGCTCTTTGGAAGACTTCGATCTTGCACAGGGCTCTCCTTTTTTGATTAACTTAATTCTCTTTCTCAAGTCCAGACTCCTGTGATTGATTATGTGCCATCGTTTTTGACTCCTAGTGGCCAGATGGATAGATAGACAAGCTCCTCTGTAAGGAGGCTTTATTACCAATTCTGATGTTGGTCCTTAAAATGGAATTTTTGTAGGATATAAGTGAGAGCATATAACTTTGTAATTGTAGTATATAGCTGAGAGCATTTCAGCTGGAGCAGGCTGAGAATTTATACTGTATTACATGACTTTGCCCACTGTGGTTTATTTGTCTCTGGTGGGGCTGTATCATAATCCATGTGAGTTATAAACCATGATGTATAGCTTGGTGTGATGCCAGAGATGTTTGGTTATACAATGGATGAAGTGAAAGCTAAACAAACCATATTATGGCTTAGAACAATGCATGAGCTCAGCTAATGATTGGTGTTAAATTAACTCTTATCTGTTCCCCCACCTCAAATATATGGAATTGGACATGATACATGTTTCTTGGTGAACTACTCCTTTCTTCTTTTGACTTCTTGCTTTTTTTGCCTTGTGTTCTATTTTTGCATCCGAGTATCTGTTTTTTAAAATGAAATGAAGAAATGAAAGCCAGGCAAGGAAGTCCAGCTGGGCAGGATGTTGCTGCAATGAATAAACAGTATTCCGCCAGGTGTTTCTGAATCAGGTTCAGAGTCCGTTCAGGTATGCACTGGAGTCCGGTGCTAGGTCTGTAGAAGGAAGTCTAAGGAACTGCATTGCTTCTTCAGTTTACTCCTCTTCATGGGCCGTGCTGGTTGAAGTATGGATTGAAGATGACTGGGCAATGGTGTAATGCAACAGTAGGATTTGAGGTTGTAGAAGATTGAATTAATGATCCAGTGTCATCTATGCTTACTCCAAGCATTAAACTGTTAATTGGAAATGGGGTGTTTTAATAATTGTTTTGTCTTTCAGAACATCTCCAAAAATAATCAACAAATGAAACATCAACAATGTTTCACAGGCCGCTGTTTCAGGTAACCATTTTGTAGCTCAGGAGGCATGCTTTTATCAACAGAATATACGTAGCTCAGAGTTGAACTGTGGAGTCCTTGGTGTTCTCTGAGCTTGGTTGTTTTCTTGCAGATGTTTTGTTACCTAACTAGGTAACATCTTCAGTGAACAGCACTGAAGGTGTTACCTAATTGGGTAACGAAACATCTGCAAGAAAACAACCAAGCTCAGAGAACACCAAGGACTCCACAGCATGCTTTTATGAAGGATAATTATGTTTACTGTTTATATCTTAGTATTGTTGGGCTTTTTGTGTTGGACTGCCCCTCCCATCATCCTTAAACAGTATGTCTAGTGGCTGGATGGATTTGGGGTTATGGAGGCTGTAGTCCATGGGGAGAGGTTGGATTATGTCAGTCCTTCAGGGAAGTGCAGATCAGGAAACTAGAACTATTGAGATAGTCTATAACAGTGTGTTTCAAGCTTGGCAACTTTAAGATGCGTGAACTTCAGCTCCTATTGGCTGGGAAATTCTGGGAGTTGAAGTCCACACAGCTTAAAGTTGCCAAGCTTGAAACACACTGGTCTATAATAATAAAATCTTGCAAGCCTGAGTGTGCTTCTTATATCCCAGTGAATCAGGGAGGAGTCTGCTGAGTCTCTTCCTAATATTCTTTCCCAGGACTTAAGGAACCTTTCAGCCCTCTTTACTTATATAACAGTTATTACCTATTTCCCTCAGGGTCATCTCCCTGATTACCTATAGATTAGATTTCTTTTAAAGCTGGAGTATTTTAATGTGTGAGAAATAGACTTGTAAAAAATAAATTTGCATGCTGCTTGTTCACTCACTCGTTTTCCCTTGTGGACCAGAGGAGTAGCATAGTAAGCAAATAGCAGTTTGAGAAAAAGCAATAGTAATAGCTCCTGGCCATTTATATCTGTTCTGTGCTAACGAGAAAATGGCAGGAACATGAGGAACAGCAGTCACTAGCAATGGTAATAAGGAGGGAATAAACTTGGAGGCACAAGAACTAAGGGTAGCTTGCTCAGGCCCATCCCCACACACCTCTCCACACTCCAAACCTGGAGCCATGGAATGGTGCAGGCAATTGAAATGGCTGCTCTTTGTCTTTCTTTCTCTAGGTGATGCGCCAATTTGTAAGACAT